TAATAAATTGCGCAATATTATGTCCAGACCGTAATTCTTGCGCGATATTACGGGCCGTAATATCTTACGTAAGATTACGTTTATATAATTTGCTGATGTAATTTAATTATAAAAATTAAAAATACGTGACTCAGTTGCACAAAATAAATCAAAAATTTGCCAGGTACATTTTAATAATTTTATATTTTATTGGAAAATGATACTATTTAGTTTATTTTAAATTTTGAAATCATGTAAAATTCTATTTAAAGTTTAATTGCATAAATAAATAAATATGAATTAGGATAAGTATATAATCCACATAGTTGAATAAATAAACCACATGAATGAATTGTTTTATAATACTGTAGAAGTTAGTTTATTAATTTAAGTTTAGCACTAAAACTTGAATTGTTGGGTTTTTAAAGCTATACTTATAATAAATTTATATGATTAAATAACCTGATCGATTATCGTTATATGCAACATGTGTATTAATTTTATTCAGGTAACCGATCAAGATACTATAACCAATTATAGTTTATACAGTATTTTTACATAATAACGCTTATGAGCGTTATTTCGAATAATAGCCTGAATTAAGCTTAATAAAAAATGCGTGGCAGATCCTCAATTTTGATTGGCTAACGGCCAAAGATCTTCGAAATTTTGGTCCACATTACAAAATTGTTTACTAAATTCTGGCCAGAATTAACTTTTAACTTTTTCATTACAAAAATAAAAATTTTTAAAAAATAAGCGCATTATGGTAAAATTGACACAGGAACAATTTCACTTAATAGTCAGCTGCGATTTCTTTAGTAGAATTATAAGTAATTCTGGCTTAATTTTTTTTAGCCCATCAAAATCGAGAATCTGCCACACATTTTTTATGTGGCATCTAGGTTCAATTAAAAATACGGCATCTATAATAGAGTAAAATTTTTAAATGACCAAATGACCTAACAGGTCATTTCATACTATATAGTGACTAGTTATTATTCATTTGAGTTATTAGGTCATTTTAGATCATTTACCATCTCTGATATATATTGCTTGGGGTTCTACTGTACAGTACTATAGCAAATCAGTAGCTAAGCAATTTTACTTAATATATAGGCTGCCAATTTATTACTGTATTTTCGTGAAGTAATGTGTAGGGGTATAATTTCAATTTTTGGCCCAAATTAAGCTTAATTTGGGCCATTATTCTAAATAGTGCCCATGAGCGTTACTATATGAAAATACGACCAGGTAAAATAGCCACCCAAAAAAGTTTTGATTATCATGTGATAAATATATTGAGTACTAAAAAGTCATTTAACTTGATCAAATAAAAAATTTATATACTAAAAAATAATAACGATAAGCAATAAATTAATCATTTTATTATTTCAAATAAACTCAATAAACGTAATATTTATTACAGTCATAAAGTATTATTATTACGATTTTTCTAAGTATTGTATTTGGAATATTCCATTGCCTTTTAAAATGATTATAATTCTCCTCCAATTTATACAATGGCTCAAAATTTTTATTATCGATCTATTTGTTACTATTTGGATTAATCATGTTTTCTTCAATAATTTTTTTGTTGCAGAATTATAAAACTTTTTGCTCAAATAAGTAATTAGTTATAATCTTCCGGAAGAGCATTCAAAATAAAATCTATAATATTTTCTGGTGTAATTGTATTTGTCTGATTAGTTTTTATAATTTTATTTCTTTTTTCATGGAAATTTTGATTATTATGAACAAGATGTAATTGTGTTATTTGATTTTATGTTTTTAAAAGATTGCAATGATCATTTTACATTTTGAAGAATCAAAGGAAACAAAGTCATTTCTGAATCAACTAATACTTTATTAATACTATTATAATGAATTGATAATATTACATGATTTTCAAAACTTTTTAGGTGGCAATTTTACCTCAGTCGAAAATACAGTGGCCTAATCCGACCCTATATTCTGGCTGATCTGCTGAATTTTGGTTGCTACTCATATGGACGGATTTATGTGGCTGATCTGCAAAATGTGATAATACAAAATCTAATAGTAAATTAACGTTTTTTATTGTATATCAAATTGTAAAATTTCCTTTTATAGTAATAAGTAATCTTTGGTAATCTCACTAAATATCACATGATAAATTTAATTGGTTAGTTATTTGTTTATATCACATTTGTTTGTTTATACACTTTACAACAAATATATATGTAGATCTGTAGATCAATTTTAATTATCACCTTCAAAACGTTAAAATCCGCCCATATGTAATCTATTCTGTTTACACCGTACTTTGGAATAACTTCTTATGATTGGTTAGTCACAAGAAATTAATCATTGGTTATATTAAAAACCGCCTAATCGTTTAGCCGTATTCACCATTTAATTCATCCGGCATTAAAATTGTCTTGTCCCATGATCAACATAATTCGACCCGGAATTATAAAATTTTTTTTATGCGTTATAAGTTAACGAGTAATGATATTATTGTTACTTATTATTTCGTAAGAACTATACATAAGTTACGTACGTACGTACAGAATATACATGCAATACTGTATACGGCACATCTCTATCTAGGGATGTGATAGAAACAGTTGTGACCTAAACCAAACTTATCGAATAAGCTGTAACAATTTATATCGCATATCTACTCTAATCCTTGCTATATATACTCTTATACTTTTGGTCAAGATTTAGATCAATTCATTTGGTGTATCGAAACATTCGGAAAATCATTAAATGTCCGAAAGTAAAAATTTAAAAAACACGTAGAAAGTCAATCTGAAAATTTTGAAACAGAAAGCAACAAGTTTACCATTTCCGACCAGTAAATGTTTATACTCCAAATATTATACTTCATTTGGCTGTTAGTAAAATAAAAGATTGCGTGCATAATAGTTTATTAAGTGCAGAAGTGGGATTATGTGTGCATGCGGTCCATTCTAATCCAAGGACATAGCATAAACTTAATTGAAAATTTTGTATAAATTCGATTCAAAAGTTCTATTCATTAGTAAATTATTTTACATAATAAAATAACGTAATATAATGATCGCTTTAAAAAGGCAATGCATATAGATATTTCTCTTTTACGCATCTCTTGGCATTCTGCTTTTTATTATCTAACGTGAAACATTTGCATTCATTTACTACATAAATATTAATATAAATCCAGTTCAGCTATTTGCTATGCAAAAGATTTCTTGGCAATTTAATTTGAATTATTTTATTTTGCCTTTTTTAGTCGATTTACTAAAAGCGAATAAACGTTTAATAGAACGATGTAAATAATTCAGGGTTTCCCATATTTGCATAAATCATATTGATTAAGAAGAGAGCCAAGAAATAAGTTTATAAACGTTTATTGTAAATAAAAATTTGATTACTAAAGACTAGAGTTCCAATCCGGGTAAATCCGTACGTATCATCGCTCAGATATCCGGATAATCTGACAGGCATTCGGATAATTATCCGGATATCAATAGTAAATGGTAGTTCAGATTCAGAATACTTAATGGATTGGAACTCTAACTAAAGATTTATAATACAATACGTATACATAAATAAACGTGAACATTTATCGACTTTTTACTATATTATTCAGTAAATTTTTTTTTTATTAATGCTATAAAAATTTTTAGAGACACAACAGGGATAGCAAAGTCATAAAGTCATATAAAGTTCTATAATTTGATATATGAGGAATTGCTAGTTTTCCAAGTTTCATTTTCAGAAAATATAAAAGCGGAGTTTCCGAAAATTAAGAATTCCAGATTTTTCCTTGACAGCACTCATATATATACTGTATACAGTATAAATTTTACGATCCTGTCAAAAATTTGAAGTTTATAGATTATATAACATTAACCCAATCAAAATTAATTACATAAGCACGTGTCTCTAAAGTGAGTTACTTTACGTATATACAGTAATGATGGGACTAACGATGTTAAAAATAGGTGATACTTAAATTGTTGCATTCGATAATAATTTATGAAGAATCAAAATTTTTTTAATAGATCTTGGCAAGCATCTTTAATCCCATCACTAATCGTAAGTACGTACGTACGTACGTAAGTAGGTAAGTAGTACAGGTATAAATTTTGGTTTGCTCTCATACGATAACGTGATTATTATCGTTCGGCAGTTATTACTGTTATGCGTATTTGAACAATGAGAGTACAGCCAAATTAAGTTTTCACTATTTGTCACTTCGATAAGTCCGATACTTACAGGCTTTAATTGAATGCATCCATAATTAGAAATTTTATGCCAATAAATACTATGCGTACGAATGTATATATTCTTATTATGTAAATGACGAAATTTGAAGTGATTTGTAAATATTTGTGATCATGTTATCATGTCGCGTACTGTAGTATAGTTTAAATGCTGCAGCATTGTTTATCGTTATAAATCGTTATATCTGATGTCGTAACCTAATTGGTGATAAGAATGTGGAATTGCCCAATATGAAAAACAATTGGTTGGGCACAATCCCAGAATTTGATTATGTATTTCGTATTTATTAACGTTATCGGGTTGTAAAAATTTGCTTAAATAGCATATATATTCATGGTTTTAATACCGGATATCCTAGGAGATCTTCCCATCTCTTTTTAAGACATTCGCGATTTTTCACAATGCCATCATATCAATTAAGTACTATAGTTTTTATAGTGTTACAATTGGTTAGCATCTTTCTTTTGGGTGTTCTTGTCTTTGCTTTATTAACTTCATCACCTCAATTTACGCATTCGACGTTACTTCAATTATTCATATCTGCATTATTTTTTGATTCAATTGGGATATTGCCTATATTGATGTTCGGTGATGATTTAAGCACTGTAGGAATCCATTCGTTATTATGTAAAATAAGTCAGAAAATTACATCATTTTTATTCTTTCCGACACATGTATTTCCTTTAGTAATAGGTAGGGTCATACTTTCTCTTCACACCGTCTCGTAAGAAAAATTATCTGTGATTGAACTATCTATTTATATTATACTGTTATCATAGTCTATATTGCAGTGTATTTGAAATTACGCTATGATAGTAAGACGGTGTAAGGGATAATATTGTTCTATTCTCCATCTTTTTACAATATTATGGAAACTCACATTTTTCAATTTTAAAGTTTTTTATTTATGGTACGCATTGATCCGGGAAGATTTAAGAATTGAACAAAAGTGTTCTTATTACGTATCGGGAGCTATTTGGCTATATTCTATTTGTAATTTAATGGCTTCAATTATAATAGATGCAAATATCGATAACTTTGGTACCACAGTATCTTTGTATATGTGCATACCTAAATTTAACGATAGAACGTACTATGGATATGTGATACCTAATCTGGTTCTAACTGGGCTCTCAATGCCTATGTCATGTTAGTAGATAACTACAGTATAATTTTGTATTATAATTTTGTATTATTTTCATTTATTATTATAATTGTTTATATACCATATACTACTATAGGTCACTCTGGTTTTATTTTATGGAGGCGATGGAAAACTTTTTCTTACCATCAAACCAGATCCACGGCGATAAAACTAGGTCACTCTGTTCGTTTATGCGTCTTTAGCTCTATTAGCACTGTCTTTCTTCTAGCCACACTTATCCCACGGATAATGATATATCATCAAGCCAGTCCTGTATCACAATATATATTGGCATTCTCTACTGCATTACTGTGAGTCTATTTAAAAATAAATTTACATTGAATCATTTACTGATAAAGTTATACAATTTTATATTATATTATATAGCGGTGTACTTTTATTTCTTGTTCTTGGCTCAAACCGTAAGGCAGCCATATTCCTTCCATGCTGTTACTACAATCCTCCTACACTTCCAACACAAATATTATCTAGTAGTCCTAATTATTCAGAGCAAAACGATCACGAACTCCGAGCATTTGCTTCGGTTACAGTAAATTTTCCAGAGAATTCTTATAAGACTGATACTATATGATCTAAAAAGAATTCTTTCATTCATTGACCGAATAATCTTGGAAAGCAAAGTGATATTACTGTATGATTATAATTCCTTGTAAAAATATCAGACAAAAAGTTTCGTAACCACGGTGAAATTTAATTCCTATGAACAATATGGTCTAAAAAAAAAGATACGTCTATTTTGTATTATATATTAATTGTTTAAAAAAAAAACTTTTTTTTCCAAAACATCCTCATTACATATTTGTACTATTGAACCTCCCAAAACCGATGCACATAGCGAACAGATTTTATTAGTATAGAGAGGTTATCAGATTTAAAAATATTGTAACTTATTATCTGTTATATAGCAGAAATGGATTTGATAGATTAATTTTTTTTTTTTCAGATTTGACAGTTATTGATCGGTTTTGAGGTTCAAGCATAAATTTAATGTCCACACCACCTAAACATCGAGTATCTATAGTATTTATGTGATCTATAATCTATGTGATATTTTTAGTTGGTGTAGGTTATATTACATTTGACATGATAATAATTTAATTTATATTTATGTACAGTATATTATACTATTTATGTAGTGTATAGTATAAAAATTCTACATTATTGTAAACAGTAAAAAATTTTAAATTTTAATTACAACTTTCTCTATATGATCACAAAATTTGCTGAATTAAATTAAAAAATTCATGTCATCTGTTGGCAGTAGAGATTGAATCGATATAAAATTTAAACTTCTGCTTACCCATCCATTTATAAGATTATAAACTGAGTCATCTTAAATAATCCAAGTAACCTCTTTCAATAAATTCAATAAGAATCTGATTGGCAAGACTGGTCTGACGGACCAATCAGATTCATAGTTGAGTCCATTGCTTGAGAACCAGGGTTGTAAAATTATGGTAATTTATAAAATTTTTTGGTAGGATACCGGTAGGCAAGGTTGGCATGGATATACTCCATTGAGAAATTTACCAATGGAGTGAATGGAGCCCAGTGGAGCCAGTGGAGCCAATGGAGTGAATGGAACCAATAATACTAATGAAGAACCTAATAGAGCCAGTGGAGAACCCAGCGGAGATAATGGCTCCAATAGAAACGTACAGCTGATTTTTTTGATTTGTGTAGATCGTACCCCAAAAATTAGGTTAATTCTGGTCAATTTTGTAGATCATTTGGCCTTTGGAGATGAGTTGGAGATAAGTTTTCCAAAGGCCAAATGATCTACAAAATTGACCAGAATTAACCTAATTTTTGGGGTACGATCTACACAAATCGAAAAAATCAGCCCATACGATGAAAGACTCTGACTGATAAAGAAAAAAAAAAAGACATATTAGTGATGGTTAGTAACATCATAAACAAACAGAAAAAGCAGACATATGAAATTTGGGTTTGGATCTTGAATAATCAAATAAATATAAATCATCAAAACAATGATGTCGATCAACCAATCAAATCGAGTTCAGGACCGATGATTTTCTGCGATGATTTTCTGCGGTGGTTAAATTCTGTGGTTAAGACAAAATTTTTGTCCAATTCTGTGGTATCATATTGTAATTTCTGTGATCTAATGCGATTATAAATTTTTCCAAAACAACCAATTCTGGTGAACATATGCTCGTAATTTACGTTGATTTATTGCCCACCTTTACGGCATTTCCGAATCTATGGTCAGATCCTGCGATATATTTATGAATTCTGTGATATTCTGCGTATTTTTTGGAATTCTGTGATATTCTGCGGTGACTAAGGGTGATTTCTGTGGTTGCTGTTTTTTGTGAATCACAGAAAATCATCGGCCCTGATCGAATTCCTACCTTCCCGTCATTGTATATTTAGTTTATTAAGTTAGTTAACATTACAGCATTAATTTCTCGCGTTTTTTTCGCGCTTCGATTTATTTCGGTTTATTTACCCTTTACCAGTTATGTACGTACGGGAGTTAATCATAATTGATTAAATTTCATGATTTGATTGGTTGATTACTTTCCCATATCATCTTGTATAGACTATTCGTACTTTAACTGTTCAAATAAATTTTATGAAACTAATCAACTCTGTCCGCTTCTAACAACGATAAATAAAAGATAAACACCATTAGCTCAAACATTTCAACTTCTATTCGAACGAGAACGCGACATGAAAAAAAAGAAAAAAAGAAGCGGAAAAACGCGAATTGGTTGAAAAGACGGAATCCAAAAACAAGCATTGAAATATTAGAAAGACAAAGGAGATTTGATGGCAATGATAAGTATTATGACCTCGGCGATGAAAGCAATTAGGCATTCAAATGAAAAAGTTTTTTTGTTTGAGGTTGTTATTAACGTTTCGAAGCTATTAAATCGAATTCATTTTCAATCACTTAATGATAGAACGTCCATTCAGCTCGAAGTACAGAATCCTTCTATGCCTAATCCACCTGATCCACTGAAACAATTGATTCCCTTCATAAATATGAAAAGTTCTAGGTAATGCTAAAATTTTCGGATTAGTGTACAAATAATATATTTTGTACTGTAGTATATACTTTAATATAATATGATCTTCGACACATACGTTCATTCCGTTCATGATTTTTTTTATAAAGAATTCTTAAAGAACTTAATACTATATTAATTCTTAATTATTTAACTATTAATGAAAGTTATTTAACAAATTTTTTTTTATGAAAGTAAAAAGTACCGTAAATGGCCAGATAAAATACCCATTCGATAGTAATTGCAGGATCTTCTTTAATTAAAGGTGGTTCTTTTTAAAAATTTAGACTGCCTGTTATAAACGCAGAGCGTATATGCACTTTTACACTATATGATAGAAGCCCATACTATACCCGGGTCTATTAAAGGGTTTTAAAATTGATGGGATGTAACAGACCCGGGTCTTGTGTCCGGCCATCTATGGTAATGTTAAGGATTAATTAAGAAACTTTAATTTTTTGCTTTATTCGTTACGTGATTATTTCGTTTCGGTTTAGTTGCATATGTACTATGCGTATTATTATTAAAATCGACATGCAGTAGTAGTCATTCTAAATTTATTACCCATTACCGGTAAATCGAAAAACAACGAAACTTTGAGTAAAATTAAAAAAATATGTGCCAATTTGAAACCTATAAATAACAGAATATTTTAGAGGTAGTTATGGATAATCGGTTACCTGTTTTAATCAGTTAATAAAAATGTTTCAATCGGGTTTGAAAACAAAGAGTTGAATTCTTATGAAGAAGAAGAAACAGTTTATGCTATATTAAGACAGAAGTAACAAATTTCTTTAATAAAACATAATCATACTTTTGCTTTTAGGCAACTATACTTCAGAACCTGTTGTAACACGATCGCTTTTTTTTTTTTAAGCAATGTAATACGAAAGGAAAGCATATCTAATACATTTGAGGTTAGAATGGCTCAATTACTGTATATACTAATTTATAAATTTTATTAATAGATGTAATAAAGAAATGCCTTGATATTAATTGACCTTTTTACTTAATACAAATATTATTCGTGATCATTCAAATGTCGTGAATCCAAACAAATTGTTAGCCCTTAGTGCCACTCCATATCAACCAACCAATATCTTCCTATTCGTTTGAACTTAGAATTAGTTAACGTTCTATTTCCAATCCGTATATGTTTCTTAATCGAAATTCGAAAATTTTTATCATCTTTAATATCTTTAACATTACACTTCAAACTACCTGAAGGACCTGACCAGCAATCTAAAAGCTTTATAAATTGTTTTTGCCCAAATGCCCAACCGGTTATATCAAGAAAACGAAGCTTAGATTGTAAGAGTTGTGTAAATTCTGTCATGAATTTATCAACTACAATAATTTCTTCACTTGATGTTGCTAGAATGCAGAGTGTCTCTATATTCTTACATTCACGTAGTATATCAAATAAACATGGTATAAGTTCAAATGAACTAATCCTTACAATAAATTGTCTAAGATTTTGACAATTTTGTAAAATAATATTCGGAAAACTTGGACAAATATTCAAATATACAAGTATACTAAGACTATTTAATGATCGTCCATTATTTTGAATAATTTGCGTAATAATCTCGCAGTGATGATCTTCCTGGATGTCACTTTCTAGTTCAAAATACGTATCAGTAAATGAAAATGTTTCAAGATGTGGAAACACTACATTAACAAATGGCTTCTTGTCTCCAAAAACGTCAAGATTTGTAAAGGCCAAATTTTTTAATTGGATGCATCGTTCCAAATATTCACTTGAAAGATCACTGTCAAGAATTCCGTTGGTGACTTCAAGTGATTGGAGAGATCCTGATACTCCATTCAAACTTGTAAAGATTTCTGTAACATCATCATCATCATTGCAAATCAAACATAGGGCTTCCAAACTTTTTTGTTTAGAGATTCCAAGGCTTAATTGTTCTATTGGCTCATAATCATCTTCTGACAATTCAATTGAAAGCGTTTTAATATTACATGCATATTCCATCACACCTCTAATAAAGTCAGCCTTTAAAAAATTTCCGCTACATTCAAAATGTTCAAGCTTTGATAAATGTTGGATGGCTTCAGGAGTTGTAAATAATTCGTCAAAATATGCACCAAGGCAGCTTGATAAATAATCACTGTTATCTGGTAAACAGATTAAAAGTTTTTTGATTGAAGAACTGTTGTCAAGAATTACGTTAAAAATAGCTTGCGCAAAAGCTAATTTCTCTTGTTCCCAAACATCAAAATAATCATCAAATTCAAAAAATGTAGCGTATTCTGAAACATTATTTACAAAATAATCTTCTCGTAATTTTGGACGTGCACGATGATTTTTTTTTATCCATTGGTGAATACTTGAAAACAAAGTTGCAAAATCGATATTTTTTATGAAAAGTGGATAATTAAACGTGGTTGTCTTAGGGATATTAAGCCTTTTTTTGTTAACTTTAAGAAAAGATTTACATCCCACTGGAATATATGATAATAAAATTGTAATAATTTTATATATATTTCTATTTTTTTTCTTGGTAGGTTGAAATGGATCGTTCCAAAGCAAATGAATTGCTTCATGGCACCAGGTTCTATTGGTAAGTACAATAGAATGAAGTGTTTTTATGTCATCAACATGTTTGAAAACATCAAAGAGACATTCAACAGGTAAAGCAGCCATTTTTTCTTCACTTTGAGCGATCACGGAAAAAGTGGAAATTAATGAGTAACGTATACAAATTATTGATTGGAAGAATTTATTCTCTACGTATCATAGTACAAAATGATAATACAAATATAGTTAATTAATAGTTCACAAACAATGTGTCTAACCTGTTCTGATCGGGTAAATCGTTCTATTGCTGTTTATCATTTAACGTTAACAATCAAAGTTATATTAACCAATGAGAAAGCATGCACTTAGTTAATTTGTTTCTCATAACCTTGAATGTTAAAAGTAACCCACCCACCCGAGTTAGTATAAAAAATTTTATCTTAGGGTACTTTTTTATTTTAAAATCTAGTACTACCAAGTCTGTTAAAAAAAAACAGTAAAAAAAAAAGGTAATAAAAATGTAAATTTTTGCACTATTATACCAAATTAAACAAATTAACCAATTTTGTAAAAAAAAGATTAGAAATTTTTTTACTAAAAAATTCTGTGTACGTACTCCGGGTGTAAAAAATCTGGAATGATATGCCTATATAGCATGCCAAAGCGCTTAAATCTATTAAGGCAAGCTTTTATTATGAAAAAATTTTTATTATAGTATATTTTGTCAAAACCAATATGTATAATAAACAAATTTTATCGTTATTTAGTTTTAGGTAATTGCTAATTGCTAATTTTAACCGGGGGGAAAATCACCAGAGTGCTATATCTCAAAAACGTTCTAAGTAAACGGAATCGGTATTCTACCCTTTGATATAAATTTCGTACAAAAGGACATTTAATTTTGTACAAAATGCCATTCAATTTCAAAGTGACATTCAATTTCGTACAAAGTGACATTTAATTCTTACAAAATAATGACAATTTAAAATAAATCGCGATGTCTCGTGATGTAGTAACTGTAAAAATAATTAGAAAAGAGAATTCCCCCGGTTATTTTCTTAGTTTTAAAGATTATTAAATTTAAGAGATCTAATAACTATATCAAAAATATATAGATATTATAATTGTAATTTTGGCCCGAATTATACTAACTAAATTTTTTATCATAAACCCTAATTATAACCCTAAACACTAACTCTATTTTAATTCTGCCAAAATAATCCAGAATCTGAATCTGGGTGCGACATATATATATTAGTATTAAAATTATTACAAACTTATTAACTATTTAATAAGAAATAATTCTAGATTCAATAGCCAACTCAACAAATTAATAATATTATAATTTAATTTAAATATAAAAAAGTTAATAAATAGCTATGTAGATTAGGGATTTTTATTGTACAAAAACCATATTCGGCATTGTGTTTAACCTGCGTATGTGTTTTTAATTTTACAAATGTCTATTCGTTTTTTTAAAATAAATAATTACGTATATTTTAAAATTTATCATAAAAATATAATATATATATATATATAAGGCTTATATATTACATCAACACTACGATATTATTATATTGTGATTTTGACATTTTTATAATTTGCGGCCTACCATCAAATTTTATATTTAAAATATCTCAAGTGTTGCAACCCTAGTTGCGCCATAAGAAAGTCATAATAATATTTGCAGCAGGCAATACTACTCTTAAATAGTAAAATAAAAAAATCTTTTTAACAATAATAATTGTAAATACCAAAATCTAAAGTTTAAGAGTAAAAGCAACATTAATAAATTACTAAAATACTATAACTAACTAGTTTGAACCTAAATAATTAGATACTAGTGAGGCAATAAAAGTGGGTATTGGAAATTATTTAAACACTATAAGGTTGTAAACTAGGTTAAATTTGTAAAGAAAGCTATAAAAAATCAAATCTGGTAGATTAGTAAAGTAGATCTAAGTCTAGAATAAATACAGTATGTATTGGTTGGTTATGTATGTACTTCATATTTATATGATGTGCATGTTACTGGTTGTATTTAATGATGCAAACACTTCTCAGAATAGTGGCTACTTTCAGCATTACGGCTATGACGTAGAGGTCGTACTACATTGACGCGAGATAGTCGCTCGCCGTGAGTGATGTAGTATGCCATATAGCGTTACTACCTTGAAAATTTTGGCTGGCCTTCAAATTTCAAGTAATCACAAAAAATCAACAATTTTGTACGAGATGGCTCATGCGCTTTACACAATTATAATCAAATTTTCGTATACCATCAAACCAAGTCCTCTTTTGCCAACTTCTTTAACATTAGATTATTTATTGAAAGAAACCTGATCAATTACATTCCCATAGTTTTAAGCTAAAATTCTCTGATGCAATCATTAATATTCTCATTTTTGCTTGTCTGGATCACATGTCAGAATACCATGCTTTTAAACGCGTTTTCTTTCGTTACAATGTACATTTTTAATACAGTAGTCCCTCGTTAATATCGGCCCCTCCAGGGGTCTAGACACTTTTGCAGTAACGTGACTATCACGTGGTGTAGCGTATTTTTTTGCTTTAGTTTAGGGTTTGGGTTCGGGTTCGTGTTAGGGTTCTTAGCTTTATATATTATATGTAAAATCGCATTTCCGACACTTTTTGTTAGTGCTTAAAGGCCGATTTAAACACCAGTTTTCGAGTATTTTCGCTTTTTTCTCTTTTTTCCTTCTTGCACACGTGTTTTGTTTTGACGTCGGACTGATCCGGGACGATCGAAATTTACGAATTCCGATTGGTCATTTTCTATGCGCCGCGTCACGTTACTGCAAAAGTGTCTAGACCCCTGGCGGGGCTGTAAGTCACTACTCTGAGGAACGTTTGCATCATTAGTGCAGATTATCATTTATCACCATTCGATATAAAAAATTACTAAAATTCAGAAAACAGATATATATTATAGACTTAAGTCCGAACACTTGTAAAAATGATGTCAGAGCCAAATAGTGTATGATATTGATTTTTGTTTGTAAAATTTTGGTATAAGAAGGCTCAATCTCACAAGAGCATGAGCAAAGTCCGCAAGAGCAAAAACGTATACATGTATAAAACTGTCTCAATTTTGCGAAACTTTCTATTTCTTTTATATTGAATTTTTCGCTCAAAATAGAAGCAGATCTAACTCAAAGAAGCATACAACGAATCACAATGTTCATGAGCTTAAAAAAATTAACATTGATGTACGTACGTACGTACGTATAATATATCTGATATAACAGATAAATATTTGAAAATTTTACAGTATTAAAAAAATCTGTTTTTAAGCGCTTATTTTAAATATAAATATATCTTTAATTCTGACCTGCTAGCTTTAAAAATTATATTTTTCTCTTATACTAGGTGCCATACTTTATAAACTACAATTAATAATTTTTTTTTAAAACCTCGCACAAATATATACGTAGTGATTTTTATAGTTTATTTTCTATATATAGGTATATAAGGATCGGAACGAACAGACCAGATCAATGCATCATATTTTATGTTTAAAATAATTTGGCTAACAATATAACTTACAGTATACGTATATGGAAAGCAATTTAGCCTTAAAACTAATTTGGGCTGGCATCAAAATAAAGTTGATATCATAAATTACACCAGCTTAAGATTAACTTGGCCTGCATTAAGTTAGTGCAAATACTCAATTGTTAGTTTAAATTTTAACTTGTGTCAATTAAACTAACATAAGTTACATGTGATTTCTTATATATTAATTTAATAAACTTTTTAATACTAGTAATCAAACGGCGGCGTTTCATAGAACTGGAGCCTTATCTTAGGTTCTGAATTTAAAAAAAAATAGTAAAGTTAGTATTGTAATTCAAACAATTTATAATATGAATAATAGAGATGAAAGGTGTTCATTTTAAGTACTGCATACAGTATAACGAAATTTTTATACGTACGTATATGTGTACCTTCCCAATTCTTGTAATATATTATATATAATGTATGATATAAAGTACTACTGAAAGATCAATAACAATGCTAAGTCTTGTGATTTATAATCGTAATTGTCCAAGTAAGAAGCAAAGGAAATTGCATACGTACGTACGTACGAAAACAGTTCCTTCCCGTGTATATCAGATATACTTAATTGGTCGAATTCGAATTGGTAACTATTTGACGTAGAAAGTTAGTTCCATAAAATTATCCAAAATGAATGTAGTGCACCTTCTTAAGTTCATATACAAAAATATTACTTTTATAATTCAATATCTCAATATATACAACGGTTTTATTTATTATGATCGGCGGTTAGGACACCATAGCTCCGCTCACTTCTACAGTATTATACTTAAATCGGAGCCAGCTAATGCATCGATATAGATGATATAGATTACTATATTTGTAAAACAGAAATATTTATTCCAATGCACGTGGGTGGATGACCAGATCTGAGAGTTATGCCTAGCCACTAATTCATTGATGGAAGGATAAATGCGTTAGCGGGTAAGCTTAAGTGTATTGCTAAAAATAACAAGCGAATCTTTGATATGCGGTGATCTTACGTAGCAATTTATTTTTTTTCATAAAAACAAAATTTGTCTTTTTGAGAACTATCCAGATTGTTTCTCGAAATGAATGGTGGATTAGGCCCAACTGAAGATTCAGTATACAAATATGCTCTCCGTATCGCATATTTAGCTTTCTTAACTGAAGTAAAGGCTTCAAAGGCTCCAAAATCTGCTCCTTCTTCTATTTCTACTTCTACACCATCTAAACTTAATGTCGAATCTAGTAGTAATTCAAAACGTTCTAGTCTTTATGGCGCTCAAAATTTATCCTTTAACGCTTTTGATATGTTTAAAGATGAAAAGAAGGCCCATAAAATACCAAAAGAATTGGTTAAAGTATTGCGTGACCGCTTAGAGCAAATTACCACTGGCCGTGAGCAAAATCAATCTTATCAAGATCCTTATTTTATGAAAGAGCTCAAGATTTTCCATCAAGCTTTACAACAATCTGGTTTTCGTCAACAATTTAAATCAAGTAACAGTAAAATTGAAGATATAGTGCTTATATTTCTTAGAACATCTCAAGTTGAACTCAAAAAAGCTCAGCTACCTCCGAATGTTACATGGCAAGCCAAACTTACTGATCACGTTAGTATGTTCGTCGGTATATTGAAAGAATGCCTTCAAGCCAGGGAGTGTGCATCGGCTGCTACACCAGATTTGCTGGCTAGATTAGAGATTTATCAAACAAAAATGTCCAGTACCCCCACCCCTAGCGGAGGAAGTGGAGGATCCGCAAATGCTAGCTCGGGTCCGAGTATTGAAGATATGGATATGGTATTGGTGGTTAAATCAATTTTTGGCATTTCTTCTAGCCAACTACAAAAGGACTTAAATTCCCTGAAAAAAGAATGTACAGTACAGGTAGGCTACTATTAATTTATGTAAAATTATTATTACTAATACGATGATTTATTTATTTTATTTTATATTTTCCTTTTGGAAATTAAAAGAAAGCATTTGAAGATTTAAGAAATATCATAAATCATGTTAATCGTGGTTCACCTTTCCCTGCTCGTAGGGAAGATTTCGATACGGATGATGCTTATGATAAGTGGAAAAGCATCGAAACAAAAACGATCAGAGATCTTATGGCTACTATGGCCTTAACAAATCCTGAAGTATTAAAAGAACAACCCACTGACCATGTTTCTACTCTTTTGACGTCTGATTCGAGCTCTAAAGCAAAACAACCTTATAATCAACCCTATCAAAGTTTTAATTCTCAATATTCTCATCAACCTTCGTATCAACCTTATAATCAACCTCCTTATCCACCATATCATTCTCAGCAACCCTCATCGTATCACCCTCAACAACCTCAGTATCCACCCTATAATCAATATCCTCCATATAATTACAATTCTCAAAGACCGTATCCTTATAATCAACCGCCTCAGTCACATCCTCCTTATAATCAACCCCCAACACAGCCTTCACACAGCTTAAAAGATTCGTCTTCGTCCTCTGAGGTTTGTTATATACTGCATATTTTTATAATTTCTATTTGTCTTAATTTCTATAATTTACAAATACAATTCATGCTATTTTATTTCAGGCTGGTTCATTTACTTTCATTCCATTAAATCCTCGGAGTTATTACAAGCTTTTAATGAATAAATGCATAGAATATGAATTACAACATGATTCGCAAGAAGAACGATCCATCAAAATTCTTTCTAAAGATGTCATAGGCTTGCTTAACGAATGTGCTCTACGTTGGAGAGTTTCTCCAGGATTTCGATGGTTACAATACCTGAACGTTATCAGGTCTCGCTTCGATAATCGCTTCGATAATGAGGATCCTCAAATAAATTTAGATCACATTAAAGAAGGAATGCATTTGTTAAAGGATGCTATGAAGCATAGAGATGTTTCGACCTGGACTATTTCTGATGTTCGTTATTCCCTTAAAATTGATCCTTATTCGTTATTTGTCGTTTCATATTTATTTGTAAAAATAAACTTATTTTTCATTATTATTATTATTATTATTATTATTGTTTTGTAACAGAAAAGGGAACTTGTGGAGGTCTATTCAGGGATTCATGATACTTTACTGAATTACATGAAGGAAGCACTCGAGCATGTTTTTAAGATTAAACCTACAGAATTCGAGCCCATAATATTTTTATTGAAAACAATATACGAATCTGATCTATTCAATGCTCATTACCCGGATGTATCTCCTTTTTACAATGATCTTCGAGAATGCGTTAGAGTAAGTTGTTTATTAAAATTTTTAAACATCTCTCGATATATATTCTTATATTAAATTTTTTCTTCCTTTTTTTTTTAAAAAAAAAGAAAGCTGCGTTTGATGAATATAAAATAAAGTTAGGCAAACTATATGAACAACAGTCTTCTGCAAATGAAGTACAAAGGTTTGCCGCTATTGCACGATGGATACTACAAGAAGTAGATAAATTAAGCCAAAAGTATCCTACTCCTTTAGTTGGGTTAGTAATTATAAAAGAATTATGTACAATAATTTTATTTTTATGTTTGAAATTTAAATTCAATTAATTGATTGATCCATAGGCAACTTAACATCGTTCGTTTGGTAATTGAAAAGCAAGGCCCACTTTTATTTTTAGATATGGAGGGCGCTGCATCAGAGATTGTGAGTAAAGTAAAAATGACACCTGGAGATGGAATTCCTGTTGATGATGTTATTGAACTTTATCGAGAAATACTCGAACTTAAATATATATATGAAGATCTTTGTCCTGGGTAAATTATGAGTAGTTTCGCATTCAGTTTAGTTTATTTTTGACTTGAATTTAACTTTTAATTTCGAAACTTCTTTCAGTACGAAATTTTCCTTTGGAATTGAAGGATGGTTTGGGCCTTATATCAAAAAATGGTTGGACTCTACAGACAACAAAACTCCTGAATGGGTTCATGCTGCAATTAGTGCGGATGAGGTTGCTTTGTCTTTTTTATTAGTTTAATTATTAGTATTGTGAATTATTTCTTACATCTTTTCTTACATACTTTTTTTTTTTTTTACATATAACTTTTTTAGTTTAAGCCCGTAAGCAGTACGGATACACATTCCTCTTCCGTGGTTGATCTTTTCACATCATTTAATCAGACTGTTGATTTCGTAAAAAGACTTAATTGGCCCAATCAAGAACAATCCGCTCGTTTTATGACAGTTTTATCACAGGTAGGTTTTATTCAAATTTTGCATTAATGAGTTTAAATTATTAATTTTTATTACTACTGTTTTAGACCATTGGTAAAGCACTAGAACAATATTGTAATGTGATGGAAGACCTCTTTATGAAAGATTTGACGGTTGTACCTACAGAACAAGAAACATCAAAACAATCAGCTTGGTACCTTCGAGCAAAGAATGCTCTTTCTCTTGAAAAAATTGCACCAGCTGATATCCAGCCTAAGGTATCTGAAAGTTCCGATTATTTTAGATATGAATTCGATATATTATCTACTTCTAATGCACTTTAATTTCATAACAGTCATGCGTTAAAAATGAATAATATTGAAGCGGCAGCTGAGCAACTGGACAAATTATATGAATCGATGAACGTTGATAATGTGTCAGGAATTATGAATGAATCAGAGTCTGATGTACCTCTTTCAGAAAATATTACAAGAAATAAATATCTTTATACAATAAAAATTGTATCTGCTGAAAATTTAACTGCTCAGGATGTTAATGGGCTTAGTGATCCGTATTGTGTTTTGACCGATGAAAAGGGACAAATTTTGGCACAGACACGTGTGCAATATGAAACATTAAATCCACGATGGGAGGAGGCATTTGATATTACACTTGAATTTAGTGACCAAGATTATCGAAAATTGCTCGTCACAGTTTGGGATAAGGATCAAGTTGGCTCGGATGACGTTTGTGGAAAAGCATACATTTATTTGGATCGTCGTTATTTCACTGACTCTAGACCTAATGACGTGTATCTCGACCTTAATCCACAAGGTCGCGTTCAATTACGTGTTAGCATGGAAGATGAGAAAGATGATCCACGATTTTATTTCGGTAAAGCATTTAGAACTCTTAAACGAGCACGAGATGATATGACGAGAACCATTGTTGATAGAGTAAGATTATTTTTTTTTTGACCCTTGAGTTTTATTTCACACTCTTACTCTTAAATATTATTTTAAAGATATCACCATTCTTGAAACAATGTTTGTCTCGAGATGTAATCAACAAACTGTTGAAACCAGCTGGCTTTGCAGGCATATTTGAACAGAAGAAACGTGATCTTACAGATCGCAACATTGAAGAAGCAATTGATGCACTTTTCGATTATTTTGATGAGAATTTGATGATACTTAATTCTAATTTGCATCTTGAGGTGTTCAAATCAGTCATAAGCCGGATATGGAAAGAAATTGTTAATACTATTGAATTAATTATAATACCTCCTTTATCAGATCGACAATCGGATATGAAATCACTATCTGATAATGAGCTCATGATTGTATTAAAATGGTTACAGGTAAATTATCATTTTATTGTATCGTAGCATCTTACTGATTTTTAATTAACTAAATATACTTAATTTACGTTAAATATTTTTTTACCGACACAGTTTTTGAAACAATATCTATATGCTGATGGACTAGGTGTACAATCTGATATACTCGAAAATCAAAAATATAAAGAAATCAGTAAAATAGATAAGTTATATCATATGGAAACGGAAAATCTCATGCAAGAATACCTTAACAATCAAATTATTGGTTCGCTTGATGTTAAAAAAGGTTCGCTTAGCGCGAGCAAATCAGTGCTTCATCAACGAAATCTTGGCACGATTAAAAAACGAAAAAGTGAAAAACGTCAAAAAAATGATCGCCAAGATAATGGAGAGATAATACTTAGAATTTTAAGAATGCGAGCTGGAAATAAAACAAAAGCATTCTTAAAACAGCAAGTGGAAGAGCGAATTAAAAAATCGACAACTAATGCTTCATCATTGAAACCTGTACCAGAAAACTGAACTATAAATTATTATTTGTAAGTTTTTAACGGCAAATTATTTGATATTCTCCTATTCTCCGAATCAGTTATTCTTATTAACATTAAACCTTTTATTTTGACATAAGTTGATAGTGTTTCAATCAGTTTTTATTATAAAAATAAATTAAGTCATACATACGTATCAATCCCAAATTTAATATATTTTATAAACTGTATTTATTGTATTTTTCCTATATAAATATAAATCACATTGTTTTTTATTAATATATTATGATTTGTATATATTAGGGTGTATATTAAATGTCAAACCCAATATTTCAATAATTTTGAAATTTGATAATAATTATTAATTTTTATTGAATATACTGTACTGATAAATTTTATGCGTATAATTTTTAATAATTATATTAAATTTTATATATTTTCACTTACTAAAACGCACTTATGACCTATGTTGTATTAGCTTAAAAACTGGCTAATTAATTAGTATTTGGTATTCTAAGTAAAAATGCTCTACGCTCCCAAAAACATTTTCCAACCCCTAATTCTAACCCCAACATGAAAATTTTGAGCCAAAAATTATATATATATTACTTATAAAAATTTAGAAAAATAGATAAAATTATATAATGGGTGCAAAACCACTATCGCTATAGGTGCGTTTATTATAATAAATGTTTTTAAATTATAATATATATATTAAGTCATTTATTATCAAAGCGTAATTTTGGCCTGAATTAAGCTTAATTCAGGTCAAAATTCGAAATAACGACTTTTCATAAATTCTAGAACAACTGAAAAAATTGCCGATGATCGAATCGAGTTCGGCCGAAGTCGGTACTTATTGATTCCGACTCGAATTCAGTCATCGGCAATTTTTTCAGTTGTTCTGAAAACAGCTGTAAAAAAAAAAAAAGGCGTCTGTTTAAAAGTTTCACGTTATGAGAACCAATAAATTAAATTGCGTGGCCTAATATAGACTTTTTATATAGTATTCTGATATAAATGTTTCAGTATTTAATGTCGCTAATGAAATTAATATCTGCAGCCAGATATTAACAATTATATACTACATATATCTTATTATACGTATTACGTATAAGATTTCCAATTGCTGAAAAAATTTAATTAACCGCACTGATCGGCAGTACTTGCAAAAAAAATTTAAGTACTGTTTCTGATGGGATCTAAGAAAACTTCGATGCCAATTTTTTTTCATATACTTCGCTATAGTAGTAGCCATTTTATCACATGAGTGTGCGCAAGTATCATGAAAATATCACATGTGACAAAATCGAATGAAGCATACCTAGGACCGTGAAAGATGCACCAATCGGATTTCTTTTAAGCGATATCAATGGACGTTTCTTTTAAAAAATTGTCAATAACTCAAAATTTTGTTTATGTAACAACCTTCTGCGCACTAACAAAAAAAAATTTCTCGCAAAATTTTGGTATAGTATAACTCTCCCTTAGTTATAATCCTAACTCTAACATAAGGTTTTATTACTTTAAAAATATTGCGCATATTCGATTGTGATTGGTTCATTTCTCACGATCTCGAAATGATGTCATACGAAATAATGTCATACTTAGTGATTTGAATCGGTTGGTCTATAATCGGTTAATCGACCCGAACCGAATAAATTTCGGTTAACCGGTTGAAGAAATTCTTAATCGGTTGACCCGGTACATCCGGTTGAGAATTAAGTAATCGATTGGCAATTGATATAGTATGAAAATGGTATAAGGAGGGAGCAAAAGCTCTGAAAAGTTCCGAAAAATGAATACATAAAAGACGAGACAAACATTTGAGCAAAGCTTCGAGAATTTCCGAAGATAAAGCAAAAAGTATAGTTAATCTCAACCGATTGACAACCAGTTTAATAAAATAATTAGGTTCGGTTAACCGATTAAGGAAATTTTTCTCGGTTCAAATCACTACCCCGGGTTTGGGTTGACGAGCCGAATCTCCACCTATTATATTCAAATATATATATAGCATTATCTCTAATAGTATAATATAGTATAATACTGGATTTATAGATCGTTAATTAGTAAAATTTTGCTTTTTATTATCGTATACGTATATCTGATTACATATTTATGTACGTACATACTGTCATTACAAAAAATTTGCCGTCACTCAAAGTACGGTTATTGGCATTTTCACTTTTATTAAGCTTGTTAATTTTTCTTGGATGGGAATTTTTTAAATCTACTATTTATTTCGTAAAAATACTATCCAAATTCGCGACATTTAATTTGCTAAATTCATAAGTATAAGGTTTTATGTTCTCTTCCTCAAGCGCATTTTTCCTTTCACTAATCGTAATTTGTGCATTTAAACAGAATAAAGTTTCACTTTAAAAATTTTTAACAAGAAAATTGTGTTATTTATCAGTTAATTGACCAATTTTGGTTTAGAAAACTTCGTTATATACAAAGCTAGTACTGTATTAAATCAAATACGTTAATAGATTAATTTTATAAATTTATTTATTACTGTAATAATTATTAAAAATTTGTTAATATAAGAACTGAAATTGAAATGGTTCTTCTCGTAAGTGATCGAGACAGATTATTTTTCACCGTGCAGACTGTGTGCAGCACACATAGACAAAATTTTGCGCACACTTTTTTTGAATAGATGTGCGAATACCGCACAGAAAAAACCGACATTTTGTAAGTAGTGTGCACAGTTGCAAATAGTTTCTCGTTATAGTTGTTAGACGAAACCTTTTTCGCATGATGAACGAAAGACGAAACCTCTGACGAAAATCGAAACCCCAAATTCTTCTGACGAAAGGCGAAACCTTAAACTTAAAATGACAAAATCTTATGCTCAAAAAACGAGACCCTAGTGCTCCCGCTAAAAAAAAAAAAAAAAATTGATATTTCATTGAATTAACATTCATAATTTATTCAGAGATCAATATCCGAAATTACATGTATGCCAGCAAAAATAAGCCAGTTCATTTTTTCTGGACAATGCTAGGGTTGTTATAGACCGGTTGAAATAACCTTGTCAAAAAGCCATAGTACTCATGGAATAACACAAATAACTTAAAAACATACTGGTACAAAATAAATTTGTTAGATTACAAAGTAAGCACCCGACTTCTCACTAGAACTGATATGTAGTATACTAGTATAATACAATATAGAATACTCATTACTTACTCCTTTTAAATAATTCAAGCGCCTATTATACAATAAATTTTTTTGTAATATTTATAAATTTTTGTTTTTGTTAGTTTATTTTTTTATACACATAATCTTCAACGATTTTTAACATTTATTTATATATTCGCCTTTTATTAGTTTTTTCACCCTTTACAGTTTCGTCAGTTTCGTCAGTTTCATCACCTTTCATCAGTTTTGTCATTTCGTCATTTAAGATTTTAATTGATGAAAGACGAAACAAGTGTGAACCGCCAAGAAAATACACATATACAGTAAACACAATTGTATTATTCAATAAATATTTTTCGAGGGTCAAATGCTTAAGATCTTTTCCCATTTTAATAACAGCGCATTTAATTGCATTTGCACTTTCAGTATCATCACGCTGAAACCCTTTTTTTAAAAGCCACCCATCTAAACCGAAATATAGATCTTCGGTTATGGAAATTATATGACTTGTGTATTCCAATATGGTGGCTTTTTTTTCCGGAAGCATAGGGAAAGTAACCATTAGTGGTTTTCTTTCTTCTTTGACGATTATGTATGCAATGAAATCCACCAGCAGAACTAGCTTTATTATATAAAAATATTTAGCAAAACAGATATAGGATATATTCTAAATATATGCACTGTTTTGTTTAGTCAACCTTCTGGTTTTACTATTCTTTCTGGATCTTTTTTGTCCTCGTTCTTCTCTACGTGGTGAAGAAACAGTGGGACTCGTGTGAACATTTCGAGGCGGATGCGAAATAGCTTGCTCTAACGCCTGCGCGAGCAAATTCTTATTTACAATTATGATATTTCTTAAGGTTAACAATAATCGTATAAGAGGCTCTATACGCCACGGCATGTTCGAAGTTAATGGGATATCTGCATGATCCAGGTGGAAGTATCTTGGTATTTCATTTGTATCATTCATGAGAACATTTAAGTATATTCTCTCGCCAGCCACCTGGATTCCAACTACACCGAACTGATTATGAATAGACCTACATGCAGAATTTATATAGCTACTCCCATCCAACAATTCTCTCTATAGTTTTATATCATCCTCTTTTTTTTTTAGTGTCACTGCAGAAGACACGCGAACATTCTGCGAATAAAAATTCCACTAATTTTCTATTACATTTTTCTAGCGCCATTATATCTGGCTTTTTACCCATTTTTTCCTTACCTATTCCATCGTTTCTACGCGCCTTACTTGCCAAGCTTTGGCGTTCAGCTGTACTTAAACATATACAGCCATTTGGCAGGTCACTCAGAGTTGCCCGAAGTAAAGGCATGATTATATCAGTAATGTAAGTCCCTTCACTTTGCATATTACGGGACATGCTTGTCTCGAAGGCCGCACATTTCCTCTAAATATATAATATAAATTTAAGTTATACAGTTCTGATAAAAACATATATACGTATAAAAAATTATTAATTATTTACAGTGTACTAAGAATTCGTTCAGTTATTTTTCCTAGATCCACTTTCCATAAACCATTATGTCTGATATCTTTAAATTCATTCAGAATGCTTATCTTTTGAAAATTATTTCAAATAAAAATTTTATGCGATACAGTAAAATTTGTGAAAATATACAGTATTTAATTGATAACAAAAAATTATTTCCTAAAAAAAATCAGAAAATGATAAAACTCAAAAGAGCAAAACGTTAGTATTAAGCAACTAAAAGAAAGACTTCTGAAATTTTTAACCACCGTGATCAGTGATGTAATTGGTTTCGTCCAATGGGAATTTGAGGATATTTGGCTACGCATATGAGTTTACCAAAACAGGTTAGAGATACTAACACGTCAGATCTTTTGATTTTATTACCCCAGTA